GAGCACGAGTTTGACAGGTGTAGTAGATTGTTCTGTCGATTTCCTGGTGTTCTCCGTTCCGAGAGACATTGCCGGGCTCTTCGTTTTTAAAGCAATGGCAGAACCGTAGTCTTTGAATGTATCAAACACACGAATCGGCTCTTCCTGCCACAGAGGTCAAACGTGGCTCTTGCGAGCGCGAGTTTGATAGGTGTAGTAGATTTTTCTGTCGACTTCCTGTTGCTATCCGTTCTCAGAAACATTGGCGGGCTCTTCGTTCTTCAAGCATTAGCAACGCAATAGCATTTGACACTATCAAACGCACGGTTCGGCTCTTTTTGCCGAAGAGAGAGAGGCCAATATGAGTTCAAATATCGGAGGTTTCATAAGTCAAGTAGATCCCCGGGAGGCCCCAAAAGTCTGGGGGGGGGATCCCCGTGGGGATCCGCACAGGAATCCCAATGGGAGTCCCTTTAGGAAGAGCCGAAGGCAAACATAAAATAATCTGCCACGGTTGTCCATTTCTCGTCGCGGCCTCGCGTGACATCGTGGAACCCGTTCCCTGCGACCACCGCGTCGTAGGACGAGTAGTCTTTCAATTGAGTGTTGTCATAAGCAATGCCTTGTTTGAGCATGGGAAAGCAAACGTAATCGTGCAAATGGATCTTTGATTCAACCGCCCGACAACATATCGAAAAATCTCTGGGACGGGTGGGAGTGTGATCTCGGCTCTTTTGGTAGTATTCGATTTGTTGTGGGCCCACTGCTGATGGAATACACCAAATGTGATTGTGTTCCATTCTGCGTCTTTCAATATGTTGCCAAATTTCCGCGCGATTAAATAACAGAGTATGTGCACGATGCATCTGAGTAGTGTCGACCGGCACTGCAATTTCTCCTTGTTCTCAATTTGCTTGCACTCGACCGACCGCCTGTCCTTGATGTGTCGCGTCGAGGCCGATACTTTTGGCGCCTCCGACAACTCGTAAACGTCAGCCCCCCGAGGGAAATACGACATCGCCAATTGAATAAACAAGTAGACACTGTCTGGCGAGCAAAAGCAAATCTTTGAGCAAACACGCCTTCTAATTATTGAACGTGACGAAGCGACAACCGTTCCAACATACCGACATTGTAACATGAAAAAACGATACATATTTGTATGATGTCTTATATTATGTTTCGTCCCCTCTCCTACCGTCTAATGCATTACCCCCACCTTCTTTTCACACCCGCCCCCGTGTCATCGATTCTATATAGTCTTTCCTCCCGTATCCTCGCCTCCCTATTCTATTCTCCTCCTCTCCTCCTGATACCCATCACACTCATCTCTTGTCCTCCTACTGTGTCCTCCTCCTCCTCCTCCTCCTTTTCCTCCTCCCCCCATCATCCTCTCCCCCTCTTTACCCACCTCCTCTTCCTGCACCCCCTCCTTGTCCTCCTCCTCCTCCTCCTCCTCCTCCTCCTCCTCCTCCTCCTCCTCCTCCTCCTCCTCTTCGTACTCCTACCTGCATCAATGTTTCTGCCCTGTCTTCCTGCTTCTCCATGCCCTTTCCCCTCCTTCCCCTCCTCGTCGTCGTCGTCGTTACCGTCTCCATTCTCCGCCCCCTCGCCCTCTCCACCTCCTAGTCCTAGTCCGCATCTTCGTAAGATGGCTCCAATGAATCCTCGCCACCGTTGTCCTCCGCCTCCTCCTCCTCCTCGTACTCCCCCACTTTTTCCTCCTCCTCGTCGTCGTCGTCGTCCTCCATCTCCTCCTCCTCGTCCTCCTCCCCCCTCCTCCTCCTCATCCTCCTGCTCCTTTTCCTCCTCCTCCTCCTCCCCTCCTCCTCCTCCTCCTCCTCCTCCTCCTCTCCTCCCGTCCTCCTCGTCCTCCTCGTCCTCGTCCTCGTCCTCCTCCTCCTCCTCCTCCTCCTCCTCCTCCTCCTCCTCCTCCTCCTCCTCCTCCTCCTCCTCCTCCTCCCCCTCGTAGGTTCGAGCGTCCTTGCCAGCCCGGGCTTCGAATGCTGAAAGACGACCCAAGAGGCCACCAATGTCGCCCCAAGGCCACCAATATCGCCCCAAGGCGGCCCCCTTCGCAACCAGGGGTGATCCTGGCATTTCGGCGGCGGGCGAGCTCGGCCGGAGACCCCACCACAAACTCGCGGCGGCGGCGGCGGTCCCGAACACTAGGTGCACTTCGCAAAAAACAGATTCGGCGACGGCGGCCCGCCCAGACACTGGGGGGCGCAGAGGCTTAGTAGACCTGGTGATAGAGAGAGAGAGAGAGAGAGATAGAAAACAGTTCTTTCTCCAAGGGCACGCTCTCGTTTCCAAAGATGAAGCGCACTTGGACCAAAGTTTGTGGAGGGTAACGCAAAAAACGGGAGTGAAGAAGCGAAGGAACATCCATCGAGGGGTATGGGGCTTCGAGGGGCACAAGGGCCACCCTCTGGCCCCAGGACCCTCCTCCAGCCCCAGACCCCGCCCGGCTTTGGCCCCCCCTGGCCCCGAACCTCCGAACTCCACACCCCCCCTCGGTCCCGGGACCCCAGCGGTGCCGCGTGGCGCGCTGCGCGTTGGCGCAGGGCGGGCCTCCTCCTCTCCTACTATATTCAATGGAACAAATCTGATCCAAAAAGTTTCTGGACAACCCGGACAGCCCCTCCAAGAAGCATAGATAAAAATCACAGCATGCGATTGTGGCTGGCGCTCGAGCGGCAGCACAACACCCGCTTGGGGATGTGGCCGGGGCTGGGGCGGGAGCGCCACGCGTAATGACGAGGGATGTGGCCAGCGCGCAGGCGACAGCACCAATCCCAGACAGGGATGTAGCCAGAACTCGGGCGAGAACATCATTCCCAATCACGGATGTGGCTGGCACTCGAGCGGCAACACCATACGTACCCAATAAAGGATGTGGCTGGCGTTTAGCTGAGAGTATCGTTCCCAATCCGGGACGTGGCCCGCGCGCGGAAAATTCTCAAACTGGCAAGACCACATCGCGCGCGGCGTCGCTGACCCTAGAGTTGCGAGAATCGTAGGAGGAGCAGGCTGGACCGCCTCTCGCGCGAGGCATCTCGGAATCCAGAGTTGCTAGGGTGTCTCATGCAAAACTGGTCGGATCACCTCTCGCGCGACATCTCCGAGCCCAGAGTTGCGAGAATGTCTCTGGCGACACGGGCCAAACCACATCGCGAGCGGCAATTCGGAGGCCGAGACTGCGAGGATGTCTCAGGCGAAACTGGCCGAATCACTGAGATGAGGGCATCTCGGTGCGTAGAGCTGTGAGGATGACTCAGACGAAGCTGGCCGCGCGCGCTGCATCCCCGAGCCCAGAAACAAGGAGGCGTCTCGGGCGAAACTGGCTGGATCACCTTGTGCGCGGCATGTCGCGGACAAACCTGGCCGGACCACCTCAGGTCAGGTCCTACCGGAGCCCAGAAACGGAGCCCAGAAATGTGAGGACGTCTCAGGCGGCACTTGCTGCGCACGCTGCGTTCCCGAACCAAAACATGCGAGGGCGTCCCAAGCGAAATTGGGCATCGCGCAGCATTTGACGACGTCTCAGAAGGAAAGGTCCAGAACGCCGCAGGTCAGGGCATCCTGCTGCCCAGAGTTGCGAGGATGTCTCAGGCGAAACAGGCGGGATAATGTCACGCGGCATCTCTGAACCAAGAGTTGCGAGAATGTCTCTGGCGAAACTGGCTGGACCACCTCGCGCGCAGCATCTCCGAGCCCAGAGATGCGGGGGTAAGCCAAACTGGCCAGACCACCTCAGTTCAGGGCATCTGCGAACTCAGAGTTGCGAGGACGTCCCTGGCAAAACTGGCTGGACCAAACCCGATGTTGGCGGATGTCTCTGAGCACTAGCCACTTAGCAAGAACTAGCTTGTACCGCAACGGGACCCCAGTCAGCGCAGCTGTTTGGACAAGCGCGGTAAAGGAGGGCGGACCAGGAACGGACAGGAGGGGAAGGGGGGAAGAGAGGCAACATTTCCAGCTCGGCTTCCCTGGTTGTGCAATGCTTCTGATGGTTTGTGGCAAGACAGCGCGGCCCAGACAACCCCTGGGACAACCCCGCAAGGATCCGGACCCTCCTCCCCAGACAACCCCCCTTGGACAAGCCTCGCCAAGATTGTCTCCCCATGAGATATAGTACGTCCCCCAGCCTCACCCCCCTCCGACTTTCCTTCCTACATCCTCCTACGAAGCATCGGATGGCAACCTGCGCCTCGGGGGTCGGGAACGTCAGATCGGAACTGGCATCGGCGAGGCCTCGGACTGGAACCGGAATCGTCAGGGCCCACTGCGCGCAAGGGTGACCCTGGGCAAGAGTTAGCAGAAGAAGAAACGATGTAAACATAAACTTTTGGCGCTCCGCGCGGGTTTCTTGGATCCGCGCCTCCTCCTCCTCCTCCTCCCTCCTCCCTCCTCCCTCCTCCTCCTCCTCCTCCTCCTCCTCCTCGGACCCCCCGCCGCGCGCCAAGGGCGGGGCGCGAGGGGGGCCGAACGCAAGCGCGCAGGCCACTGCACCGCATCGCGTGCCACGAGCGGGAGGACCCGGCGGGCCTGCTTCAGTAGGAGGAAAGCAAACCTGCCTCGCTTTCGACCACCCTCGCTCCCAAGAGATACCAAACGATGCCAAACTACGGCCTGTACTGGTCAGGCCGCTTGACGATGAGGCACGTGGTATGACTTGGTTTTGCCTGGAAGCGAAAGTGGGGTAGGTAATTCACGCTCTGAATCAAAGGTCACTCGGGCAAGTGGACGCTTGTACAAATGCGGCGAGCCCGGGGGGGGGGAGTGAGAAAGGGCGGGCCTTGCCAAAGGCTCGGAGGTCCCCCCGGCCTTCCGGACAGATGTTTTTTCAGCCCTCCCCGAAGACGCAGAAGTCTCCTCCAGCAGGCGCGAGGGCTTCCGAGAAGCCCAGCCGCCTCCTGAGAAGGCCTCCTCCTTCTCGTTTCCCCCCCTCGCTCGCTGCCGATCGCACGTGCTGTCGAAAGGGGCGCAGCGAAATTGGAGATCGGATCGGAGCGGGCCTGGCTTCTGTGCCTCAGCAGGTCGAACAGCGGGTGGACGGACAGGTGGTCGGCGTAGATCTCGAAGTGCAGCTCGCGCCGCAGGGGCTCCGACACGTCCTCCAGCAGCTTCACGCTCTCCTCGGGGATGTGCGCCTCCTGCTCCGCGATGGCGTGCTGCGCGTTCAGGATCACGCGGCTCTGGAGGCTGCGGGATATTCCGCGCTCGTGCAGATAAGTGTTCAGCTCCTTGAACTCTGCGGCCCTCCTGCTCGCGATGATGGACAGGCGCGTCATGTTGGTGGTGATAATGGACACGAACGCGGACGCCACCAGGAAACCGAACACGAGCGAGAAGATGGCATACACGCGCTCCTTCGGCGATCTGGGTCCGAGGTCGACGGTGCCCGCGAAATTCGTGAGGGCCCAATGCATGGCTAGCAGATAGGTCTGCTCGCTGGTTAGCTCGCCACCTTCGGCGGCATGGGAAACCCAGCCCTGGGCGCCTTCGGACCTGCCGAGCCCAGCCCACAAGCACCCCATGCCGTGGGCGAGAAACAAGATGGCCAGCAGCGTCTGGGCGCTGCTGAACACCAGCGCTGCGCGCTCTGACATGCGCATGACCAGGAAGGAAAGAAAACTTCTCACCCGCAACAACCGCAACAACCGCATCATTCGGACCAAACGCCACCCAGTCGGCAACTTGTTTGGAAACAAGGCCTCCGTCCAGTCCGCGCCGACCATGGCCGCGTCCGGCAGCAGCCAGGAAGATGCATAGCGTTTCCAGATCGACCGAAGCCTGTACACGTCAGTGCCATTGGGCAGGGTGTAGCCTGATGTGCACGAAGCGAAGATATCCAGAGTCCAGAACATCATAATGATCCAATGCATCGGCGACGGGCTGTAATACCGCTCGTTCAGGAACTCCAGGGGCGCCATGACCAGGTCCGCCGACTCTTGTGGGTCTCCACGCGTATAAAATTGTTCCCCCCCCATATTCCCCCGCCAAGGACCCCAAACCGGATTTTTGACCCCCCCCCGGCCGAGGGTGGCCCTGGACAGAACTCACCCGGGGCGGTCTGGGCTCCCTGGGCTTACTCTTGAGCTGCACGACAGCACTTGACGCCTCTCAAGAAGCCGCCAAGACGGTCCACGAGAACCCAAAGTCGCCGAAAGATCGTTCCAAGACGCCCAAGATGAGCTCGGAACGGCTCACGAGGCCGCCAAGACACCCCAAGAAGCCTCCAAGAGGCCTCCCAAGAAGCCCCAAAGAAAATTTCCATGGGAAAACGTGAATTTTCAGCATATCCACCTTGTTAGCCTTCACGGCGTTGAAAGCCGTCCACGAAGCCCTAACGGGGCCCCTAGGACCACCCCAAGACGGCTCACGAGGCTCCCAGGAGGCCCCAAAGACAACCCAAAATAACTCCAACGTGGCCCAAGAGGCGCCCTAGACGACCCAAGAGAACTCCAAGACTGCCCCAAGAGAGGGACCACGAACCGCGAATTCCAGCGCTCCGCCCAACGAAGCTCTCTGGAGGACCCAAGTGGCCCCCAAGCGGCCCCAAGAGGCCCCAATGAGGCACCCAAGAGGCCCCAAGGAGCCCCCAAGAGGCCCAGAAGCTCCAAAACGGCCCCCAAGACCCTTCGAAACTGCCTCGAGCAAGCCTCGGGGATGCAGTCCTGGAGGCGAAGTAGTATACAGAGGGGTCGGCGGATGTTGCGTAATCCTATAGAATCCGCGTCCGGAAGTGACGTGTTGTCGGAGGCAGGTCTGCGGAGGCGATAATGCAACGTATCCAATGTATCCAGTGACTGCGCAATTGCTACCTATTCTATTATGTTACATCAATGATCTGGGTCACTGGGGCCTTTGGCGGGTCCAACAGGGCGTCAAGACGGCTCAATCCACGTCCAGAAATGACGTGTTGCCGGAGGCAGGTCGCGCAGCGGAGCGCAAGCCCTAATGCAACGTACCCTGTACATCGAATCGTTGCACACTTGCAACGCGTCCCATTTAGTACATCTAGCTACCTATTGCATTGCATTCCACGGATGCTGTAATGCAGCGTGTCCCATGTATCCAATGATTGCACTGTTGCTACATTCTGTAATGCGTGACTTTATTCTGTCGCCCCCCTTACCCTCCCCGCCCCAGGCCACACCACTTCCGCTGACAAGGTGGCCCTCCCCTTCGTGGGCCCAAAAGCGTCAAAAAACTTGGGGGAATCGATGATTTGGGCCTTCTGGGCCTCCTGGGGGCCTCAGATGGCTTCAAAACGGCTCAAGTTGGGCTCGAGACGGCCCCGAGACGGCTCAAGATGGCTCCTGGAAGGATCAACAAACCTCCCAGACGGCCCAAGAGGGTCCTACGAGGACCCCCGAGAGCCACAATCATTGATTCCCCGTGGGTTTTTGAAAGATTTTAACGTTCTCGCCTTCTTTGACTCTCAGAGGCCATCACGTCCCAAAATCGCCCGATGACGGCCCAAGAAGCCCCCAAGAAGCCCCCAAGACGGACCAAGAGAGCCCCAAGACGTCCCACAGAGGCCTTCAAGACGGTCCACGAAGCCCCCAAGACGGCCCAAGAGGACCCCAAGGGAGCCCCAAGGCGGCCGCGAGAGTCCCTCCAGACGGCCTTCGAAGAGGCGGAATGGCACGCGGGAGCCCCAAGACGGCCCAAGTCGCCCGCAAGATGGCCCAAGAAGGCCCCAAAAAGGCACCCAAGAGGCCCAAGAAGTCCCCGAGAGGCCTCTGAGGGGCAGCAAGGAGGTTCCCAAGAGGCCACACAACGATTGGACTGAACGTGCTCCAAATGTCTGCACGAGACCCCCGAAGGCCCGGGAAATACTCCCAAACAGCTCCTGAAGGATTCACGAGGCCTTCAGATGCTCCCAAAGAGCTCCAGCGGGATTCACGAGGCCCTCCAAAACGCCCCCAAAAGCAGCAAGAATGCCCCAAGTTCAAGGCCCCACGACCGGCGCAGCTGACGAGTAGGGCAATTCTGCCAGCGCGGGGACTCAGGGCAACTAGAGTGGGGAAGGAGAGGGGGGCAGAACGTCTCCGCGCATGATGCATGGACCGCTCATTTTCAGCGGTGAGCCCTGGAGTAGAAGGCCTCGCATTCCCTCTGTTTCGCAACAGACACCTGCCTGGTGCACACTCCTCTCGCGCGCAGACGTTCTGGGCGTCTTCGCGCCCGGCGGGCGGTGGCGGCAGAAAGAACGCCGGAAGGCACAGAGGGAGGGGGGGGCACGTGGTTCCTGGCAGTCTGCGGAGGTGAAGCGACGCAAGTGCGCGCTCGATTCACTACGGCTTTCGGCAGGCGGGGCATGCGTGATCTTTCTGACCACGACTGGAAGACTTAATCGTGTTTCGCAAAATCTTCTCTCCACAGTGCGCGCACATCAACGCCGCCGTCTGACCGCGGCAGGGCTCGCAGGTCCAACGTGGAAGCCTCCAAGCCACATACTTGTCGAACCGAGGCCGGGGTGTCGCGCGACAGCTCGAGCATGGTTGGAACCTGCAAGAGTCGCACCAAAAGTCGTAACCATTCTTCAGACGCTCCTTTTGATCCGTGCAGTCTGTGCAAACCAGGTTCTTCATGCCGCGAGCCTCAAGGCGGCCGCGAGGCACCGCCAAGAGATCTTCCGAAGGGGCCAACCGACGTAGGAACGACCGAAGACAGCAAAAGAGGCCCCCCAAAGCACCACGGAGACCCCGAAGACGCCCGAAGAATCCCCCAAGACATAGGATCCAAGAGTCGGCGGTGGACAAACCTCCCTTTAGTAAACCTCCCCTTAATGAAAACGGCCTGGGACCGAAAACGACTGGCCTGGACCCGCAAAAATGACAGCCGCGACGCCCTCTCGCGAAGCGAAAGCGGCCAATCCCTTAATCGACGTGTCAGGGTAGGAGGTCTGTCCACCCCCGAAAGAGGGTGCCAACAGGCCCTACCGCGGCCAGACTGTACGTGCTCCGGACGTGCACCCCGTGCAGCGAGAGGAACCCACGTCCGGAAGTGACGTGCTGAGCGGCAGCGTTTTTCGCGGAGGCGATCATGCAACGTACCCAGCGTATCCACTTGTTGCATAATTTCTACATGTTGTGTCGTGTTACCTTGTTATGTCTCCCATCTACCCCGCCCCTTACGGGTCACGCCACATCCGTCGACCCAAAAGTGGTGGACCCCTCCTGGGCCTGAAAACCTACAAGAACCTATGGGAAATCGATGATTCGGGACTTTTGGTCCTCTTAAGGGCCCAAGAGAGGCTCAAGACGGCTCACGATGGCCTCTGCGCGGGCCAAGATGGCCCCAAGACTGCCCAAGATGGCCCCACGAGAACCCAAAAAACCCCGAGGACGGCCCAAGAGGGCCCGAAGAGCGCACACACTTGCGCCTCCAGAAACCAAAATCATGGACTTTCCTATTATCCACTTGCACAGGGTGTCTAGAGCTCCGACTACTTATTTAAGAGCGGCACACCCCTCATCACCTACACATTCCACCAGCCAGCGCGACCGTCCATCCCCCCCGCATCCACCCACCCACCAGCACCGACCAGCCAGTGCGCCCCTCCGCCCCGACCCCTTTATTTCGGCGCGGCACACCGCTCCGCCCCGACCCCCACCAGCACCCACCAGCCAGTGCGCCCCTCCGTCCCGACCCCTTCATTTCGGCACGGCACACCCCTCCGCCCCGACCCCTTTATTTCGGCACGGCACACCCCCTCCACCCCCCCCCCACCCACCAGCCAGCGCGCCCCTCCGCCCCGACTCCTTTATTTCGGCACGGCACACCCCTCCGCCCCGACCCCTTTATTTCGGCACGGCACACCCGTACGCCCCCCCCCCCACCCACCAGTGCGTCCCTCCGCCCCGACCCTTTATGTCGGCACGGCACACCCCTCCGCCCCGACCCTTATTTCGGCACGGCACACCCCCTCCGCCTCCACCCGCCCACCAGCCAGCGCGCCCCCTCTCTGCCCCGACCCCTTCATTTCGGCACGGCCCCCTCCGCCCCGACCTTTATTTCGGCACGGCACACCCCTGCGCACCCCCCCCCGCCCACCCCCCCACGCCACCCACCGGCCAGTGCGCCCCTCCGCTCCGACCCTTTTATTTCGGCACGGCACGCCCGTCCGCACCGACCCCTTTATTTCGGCACGGCGCACACCCCCTCCGCCCACCCCCCCCGCCCACCCACCAGCCAGCGCGCCCCTCCGCCCCGACCCCTTCACCCAATGCGCCCCTCCGCCCCGACCCTTTTGTTTCGGCGCGGCACACCCCTCCGCCCCGACCCTTTTATTTCGGCACGGCACACCCCCTCCGCCTCCCCCTCACCCACCAGCCAGCGCGCCCCTCCGCCCCGACCCCATTGCGGCACGGCACACCCCTCCGCCCCGACCCCTTTATATCGGCACGGCACGCACCCTTACGCCCCCCCACCTCCCCACCAACCAGCCAGTGCGTCCCTCCGCCCCGACGCTTTTCTTTCAGCGCGTCTCACCCCGGCGCCAGAGTGGGACCCCCGCGCCGTGGCTCTCTGCCCCGAGCCCCCCCGCGTCCCCAGCGCCCCAGCGGGGGGCCGGCCCACTGCCCCTTCCGCCACTAACGCTTCTTTCCGCGTCGCGCCGCACACCACCTCCCCCACCTCCCTCCCCGCGTCCCCAGCGCCCCAGTGGGGGCTCCGCCCCGTGCCCCCTCCGCCCCGATGATTTTATTCCGCGTCGCGACGCGCGCCGCCTGCTCCCCTCCCCCCCTCTCCCCAGCGCCCCAGTTGGATTCCCGCCCCGTGGCCCTCTGCCCCAAGCCCCGCCCAGTGCCCCAGTGGGACCTCCGCCCCGTGCCCCCTCCGCTCCGAGCGCTTTATTCAGCGTCGCGACGCACGCCGCCTCCCCCCCCCTCCCCACCTGGGACTTGGGCCCCGTTGCTGGGCCCAGAGGGCGATGCCTTGCCCCCTCTTCCTCCCTCCTCCTCCTCCGCCTCCTCCTCCTCCTCCCCCTCCTCCTCCTCCTCCTCCTCCTCCTCCTCCCCCTTCCTTTTGTGCCCGAGCCATGGCACACGTGCCACTTGTTTGTTTGACGATTTTAGCGTTCTCGCCTTTCTCGAGTCTCAAAGGCCCATGACGGCCCAAGAGGCCCCCCCAATCGCCCCAAGACGGCCCAATAAGCCCCCAAGAAGGCCCCAATACGGCCCAAGAGGGCCCCAATCGGCCCAAACAGGCCCCCAATACGGTCCAAGAGGCCGCAAAGACGGCCCAAGAGGACCCCAGGAGAGCCGCAGGGCGACCGCGAGAGAGCCCCAAAAGCAGCTTCGAAAGGGGTGAAACGGCGCATGAGCGCCCCAGGACGGCCCAAGACACCCCCAAGAGGCTCCAAGAGGCCCCCCAAAAGCCCCTAAGGGGCCCAAGAAGCCCCTAAGAGGCCCCCAAGAAATCCCCAAGAAGCCTCCAAGAGGCCTCAAAGAAGCCCCCCAAAGGCCACACAACGACTGGAGTGTAATGTTAATATTTCCGCCTGGGCGACCTGCTGCGCAGCGCCAGCCAAGTGGAAATTGGTCACGGCGGCGCCCGTGATTAGAGCCGGCGCTGGAAGGGAATATGGTGAGCGAGTATGACAAAGCAGGGAGGGGGGAGATGCCCCAAAGAAGCCCCCAAGATGCCCAAAGAAACTCCCAAGAGGCTACCAGGATGCCCCCAAGAGGCCCCGCGACGACCGTTCAGCGCAAGAGCGCCCCAAGACGGTTCCAAACCTATGTAAAATCAATGGTTTCGGCTTCTTGGGCCTCTTGGGGGGCCACGAGGGCGTCAGGACGGCTCAAGATGGCCTGTGCGGGCCAAGACGGCTCCAAAATGGCCCAAAATGGCCCCAAGGGGGCCAAAAAGGCCTCAACAAGGCCCAAGACGGCCCCGAGAGGACCCCCCAAAGCGCCTCCAGAAACCCAGATCTTTGATTCCCCTATGGTGTTTGAAAATTTCAAGGTTCCCGCTCATTTCGACTCTCACAGGTCCAGGACGGAAACAGCCTCCGAAGTGGCCCCCAGACGGCCCAAGAAGCCCTCAAGAGACTCCAAAACGGCCAAAGAGGGCCCCCAGACAGCCCAAAGAGGCCGCCGAGATGCCCCAAGAGGCCCCCAAGACGGCCCAAGAGTACCCCAAACAACGCAAGAACGCCCCCAAGAGGCCTCCCACCCAGACGCCCCCGCGAGGTCCCAAGAGGCCCCGATGAGGCCTCCAAGGGGCCCCCAAGAAATTCCCAGAGGCCCGACAACGACTGGACTGTACGTGCTCCAGATGTGCACCCCGCGAAGCAAGAGGAATCCACGTCTGGAAATGACGTGCTGAGCGGCAGCATTTTCTGCGGAGGCGGTAATGCAACGTGCCCAATGTAGCCAATTCTTGCATAATTGCTACATGTTGTATTGTGCTACATTATTATGTCTCCCCACCTGGCCACCCAAATCGCCCCAAGACGGCCCAAGAAACCCCCAAGAAGGCTCCAAGACGGCCCAAGAGGGCCCCCAAACGGCCCAAATAGGTTCCCAATGCGGTCCAAAAGGCCTCAAAGACGGCCCAAGAGGACCCCAAGAGAGCCCTGGGGCGACCGCGAGATGCCCCAAAGACGGCCTCCGAAGGGGCGAAACGGCGCGTAAGCGCCCCAGAGCGGCCCAAGACGCCCCCAAGAGGCTCCAAGAGGCCCCCCAGAGGCCCCCAAGGGGCTCCAAGAAGCCCCCAAGAGGCCTCCAAGAAATCCCCAAGAAGCATCTAAGAGGCCTCGAAGAAGCCCCCCACAGGCCGCACAACGACTGGAGTGTAATGTTCATATCTCCGCCTGGGCGACCTGCGGCGCAGCGCCAGCCAGGTGGAAGCTGGTCACGGCAGCGCCCATGATTAGAGCCGGCGCTGGAAGGGCATATGGGGAAGGATTATGGAAAAGGCAGGAGGGGGGAGAGGCCCCAAAAAAGTCACCAATGTATCCAATGACTGGGCAATTGCTGCGTAGGTATTGTATTGTGTTGAAATGTTATGTCTCCCCCCCCGAGGCCACGCCACTTCCACGGACCCAAGGTGGCCCCTCCTCTCCTGGTCCTAAAAACCTACCAAAACCTATAGAAAATCAATGAGTTGGACCTGTAGGTCCTCTTGGGGGCCGAACAGGGCCTCAAGACGGCTCGAGATGGTCCCAGGACAGCCCAAGACGGCCCACGATGGCCCCAAGAGGGCCTACAAAGACCCAAAGATGCCCCAAGAGGGCCCCCAGAGGACCCCCAAGAGCACCTCCAGAAGCTAAAGTCAATTGATTTTCCGATGGTTTTTTGAAGATTTCAGCGTTCCCGCTTATTTCGACTCTCAGAGGTCCAGGACGGCCGAAACAGCCTCCGAACTGGCCTCCAGACGGCCCAAGAAGCCCTCAAGAGGGCCCCAAAACTGCCCCAGAGGGCTCCCAAGCAGCCCAAAGAGGCCGCCGAGATGCCCGAAGAGGCCCCCAAGACGGCCCAAGAGTACCCCAAGACAGTCTCCGAAGGGACCAGACAACGCAAGAGCGCCCCCAAGACGCCCACACGGGGCTCCGAGAGGCCCCCAAGAGGCCTCCCACAGGCCCCCAAGAGGCCTCCCAGACGCCCCCGCGAGGACCCAAGAGGCCCCGAGGAGGCCTCCAAGGGGCCCCCAAGAAGTTCCCAGAGGCCCGACAACGACTGGACTGTACGTGCTCCGGACGTGCACCCCGCGAAGCGAGAGGAATCGTAGAGGATGCAGAGCACCGACAGGGCGTCCCAAATCAGCCGTCTTTTACAGTTCGGCGACATAAGCCACCACCGCAGCTTCTTCCACGGTGATCTCTCCGCGGTCTCGGCGTCAGGAGACTTCGACTCTGCCTCGGAGGATGCTGTGTTCTCCGACTGGCTCCCACTTGTCGCGTGGCGACTGCGCTTGAATGTGCCCTGCTTCGACACCGCGTCCATCGCCTTCTGCCAGACTTCCAGCACAACGAACTCGCCATCGAGATTCTCCGACGACACGTGCTGCATCCTCGGACCCTCGGCGGACTTCCTCCGCTTGGTGCCCAGCACGCTCGCCTCACTCATCGCGCTGCTCGTGGTGAGCGTGCGATGGTTGTGCCTGCCACACACGCCCCCGCGGCCGCTGCGCACGCGGCGCGGCGAATCGCCCCCGGCCTCGCGGTCCTCGGGGTCGAGGTTCGCGGGCCTGACGCGCGACGTCCGCGTCAATCCCGCCAGCGACCTGCCGTTCCCGGGCTGCTCCTCTCAGAGGCGACGATAGGGGCGAATAGCCCAAGGAAGAGCAAGACATGTATTCGGGTGCGCCGATGATCCATGTCTTCGAAACGGCTCCTGGGTGAATGCGTGTAATGTCCGCCCCTGGGCTATTCGCCCTTATCTCGGGAGCGGCCAAGAGGGGGGTGTCCAAGAGGGGGGGGTGCAAATCATGACCGGCGGCATGTGCGCGGCCCAGCGGGGGGGCCAGGCACGTAATGAAATAAGAAGAGGCGCCATGAAACCTGGGGAAATATCATGGCCCCCGCCATGATATCCAGCCCCCCCTAGTCATCACACCCCTCTTTGCCGCCCCCGAGCTATTCGCCCTTATCGTCGCCGCCGATCCTCGCGCGGGCGCCCGGGGCGCTCCGGCGTGCCGCACTTCTGGGGCGAGTCGGACCTGAGCCCCTCCCCCTCCCCCTCCCCCTCCTCCTCCTCCTCCTCCTCCTCCTCCTCCTCCTCCTCCTCCTCCTCCTCCCTCCTCCTCCTCCTCCCCCTCCCCCTCCCCCTCCCCCTCCCCCTCCTCGGACCTGAGGCACGCGCCCAGAGACTCGAAGGTCTTGGTCTGGAGAGGCGCCGAGGAGACTCCGTCGCTCGGGGCCCGCAGGGCAGCCTGCGGGGGGGGAGGAGGAGGAGGAGAGGAGGAGGAGGAGGAGGAGGAAGGAGGGAGGAGGAGGAGAAGGAGGAGGAGAGGGGGAGGAGGAGGAGGAGGAGGAGGAGGCGGAGGAGGAGGAGGAGGAGGAAGAGGAGGGGGGGGGGGGGAGGAGGGGGAGGAGGAGGAGGAGAGGGAGGAGGAGGAGGAGGGAGGAGGAGGGAGGGGAGGAGGAGGAGGAGGGAGGAGGAGGGAGGAGGAGGAGGGAGGAGGAGGAGGAGGAGGAGGAGGAGGAGGAGGAGGAGGGAGGAGGAGGAGGAGGAGGAGAGGAGGAGGAGGAGGAGGAGGAGGAGGAGGAGGAGAGGAGGAGGAGGAGGAGGGAGGAGGAGGGGAGACCAAAAGGCACCAGCACCGCCACCGCCCTTTTCGACCTTTCCTGAGGGGGGGCGCTTGCCAGAATCTCGAAGGGAGTCCAGCGGTGGCGACGAGGGCCTCCCAGGAGGCCCAAAACGGGGAAAACGAGGCAAGGGTTAGGTCGGGCATGTCTTTATACAGGCGGATTTTTGACGACATTTTTTAAAGTACATCCCATGCTCACAAATTATCATAGATAGTCAAAACAACTCGTCCCCATACTATTCTTTCACTATTTTTGAATATTCCTCCTGCAGAGGGACAGGCCCGACTTGGGGGCAGCGGGGTCGGTACCTTTTCCTCCTCGGAGCGACTGGGGGATCGACTACAGAATTGATCTACCCCAAAATTGACTTTCACGTCGACTCTTCCACAAAAGTACGTCAACCATTCGCAGATCTGCGAACGCTCTACGAATTGCAAGTGGATCCGACAAGAGAAACCAGCGCTGGGGCAAATCGAGTCTGTAGTCGATCCCATCCTCTAGAGGCCTCCTTGATGGGGTCGGAGTAGATGTGGTCGGAGGATCGCGCCGCATCGCCGATGCATCGGTGATGCATCGGCGATGCATTGGCGATGCACTGGCCACGTCGGCAGTGCATCGGCGACGTCGGCGTGGAGAACATCAAACTCCGCATCGAGCCGCATCGGCGATGCATCGGCGATGCGGCGCGATCCTCCGGCCCCACCTACTCCGACCCCATCTAGGAGGCCTGGATCCTCGGAGCCTGGGGTACCGCGGGCGGCTCGTGCAGATGCGCCCTGTGCGCCATGCGCTCCGTCTCCGAGGACGCCGCGGAGTCCGGCTGCACCTCCTCGATCGAGCACTCGGAGCACCGCCGCGCCGCCAGGGGCCCGCCGCCGGCGCCAACGCCGAGGGCGAAGCACGCCTCGGGTTGGACGTGGCTCCCTTCGTACTTCCCAGACCCCCTCGCGTCGTGAAAAAATCTCGACTGCAAGCCTTCCGCTATGTTCGCCCTCTGGAGGTCCTCACCGGGCCTCGGGACCGTCAGAAAACGACGTAGGCTGACAAACCGGTCCCGGGGAAAGGGTCCGGACCTCTGGGGGTCGACGTCGTGAACCAAATGACGACGTCGGGGGTCTGGGTTCGGTGGGTGGACAGAAGGTGTCCACGCCCATCGCGCCAAGAATTACCAGCCTGGAACATATCCCTATCCCTATGCTGGGCTCCTCCTCATCACGATGTCAATCTTAGGGATTCCCTTATTTTTTGAGGGCGAATCCCTAAGATTGCCATCGCCTTTTGGCGTGTCAGTCTAAGGGATAGGGATACGTTCGAGGCTGGTAAAAGAAGGTGATGCGGCATCGAACTGCGTCGATCAAATATCCACAGCCCCCGCCCCCCCCCCAGCCCAACGCTGACGGGACTGGGCGCGAGGCAGCGCGCGGGGGACAAACTATGGACCCTTGTGTACGTGGGGGGGGGAGGGGGGGCGAGGGCGAGCCACGTGTACATTGCAGTTGTCGTTGCCATCGTGCCTGGCTGTCTTCACGCCGTCGGCGTGGGCACTTTCTGTTCGGGCAACGTTAAGGGCCGCAGCCCGTAAAATAGTTTCGAGCGCCCAGCACAAAGTCTCGACACGATGTCTGCCCGACACACGCACACACTGGCGAGGTGTCGACCGAGTACCGCCTCCCAGGGCCCGACACGTGAAAATCCTCCCGACTCGGCACTCTCTTGGTGCTCGAAACTCTTGCTGGTGATCAAGGCTAGAGTGGTCGGGCCTGTCCCCCCGACAGGCGGATTTTGGGCGAGAGTGGAGGAGATACCCCCCCCAGAAAGGCCCCGAATGGTCAAACACAGGCAAAAAAAGTCGTGCCCCGACCATGTTGTTTTGCCTATTTTGGAGCACTCCAGATTTCGTAATAAAAGGGAGGGGGTCTCATTTCGGGGGGGGTCTCTTCCAGGCTGTCTTGGAGGGCCTGGGGGGGTCTGGGGACGATGATTTGGAGGGTTCTCCCACGGGGGAGGTCTGAAATTGCTTGTCTTGGAGGGTCCAGACCCCTCCCTTTTATTACGAAATCTGGAACACTCCTCCTGTAGAGGGCCACGCCCGACGGACGGCCAAACGCTGTTTCGGAGCATCCGACGCCTCGGGGAGGGCGGGGTCCGTGCTGGCGCCCGCCCGGGCGATCGCCTGCACGGCGCGCGCGTGCTCGGCTGCGACGCTCCTCTCTGGTGGCGCGCACAGGGGGGGTACGGTGGGGGCCCGACCACGAGGAGCCCTCCACGAGAGGCCCAACCCTGAGACCCCAGGGCGTCCCTCGGTCTGTGGTGTGGGAGCGCCACGCGCTCCGTCGCAAGACCATCGGAGCCCAGGAGACCCAGGGCAGCCCGGAGGCCAGCAGGGTGTTCCCTGGCATGGGCCTCCGCTGCAGGAGGAGGGGAGTAAGCTTCTCAGAAGGAGCCTGCGTCCGAGACGGCGCCGGCCCCACATCTTTAGACGAGGCCCGCGCCTTTGTAAGAAGCAGGAAGTGCTTCCAAGAAGGCTTTCCCCCCTCCACCTACACGTCGTTCATTTCTGATCGTGCTCATTTCTAATTGTGCTCGTTTCTAATTGTTCCTGGCCCCCCAGTGGCCAGGAAGAGGCCCAGGATAGAACAACTAGAAATGAAAGGATCTTGGCCCCCAAAAAAATCAAGAACTTTCGAATAATTATAAACGAAAAATGTCTACCCACCTCCTCAGACACCCGGCCGCTCCCATTCCATTGATGCGTGGGCCCCCCGAGGGGTCCGGACCGCTTCCCCAGGGCCAGCTTCTCCTCCCGCGTCGCTCCTTGACGCTCCCGAGGCCTGGCGAGGGCCCCCTAGAAGCCGTTTTCTAGGGGAACGAACAATGACACAACCTTTAAAAAACTTGGAGGTCCGCGCGGACCTCCGAGTCTTTTTATGCTATGTCATTGTTCGTTCTCCCAGAAAACGGCTCCCCAAAACCAGCCGCTCCAAATTTTCGGTTGCAGCGTCGGATCTCTGGGGATATGCGCTTACGTCGGGCATGTCCTCCTGCAGTCGGATTGTGGAAGACCAAAAAAGATCAAACGTAGTCAAGACATCGTCTCCAGACTATTTTTTGTTCATGTCTGACTATTCCTGCTGAAGAGGCACACGCCCGACCTAAGTCTGCGCTTGGCGATTCTGCAGCTCGGATCTCTGGGGATCTGTGGGCATCGTTTAACCGACCCCTATCCCCATGAACGTGGCCTGGCCCCCAATGGCCGATTGACCCCCCAGAAGGGGATATAGGCCGTTCCCTTCGGGCTTCGAGGTGTGCGTGTGTCCCCAACTGGGGTGCAGGGACGCTGGGAGTCTGGATGGGGATGGGGATGGGGATGGGGATCGGTTAAACGATATCGAATCTGCGCGTGGCCGACCTCCAAGGGCTCCCAACTTCGCGCTTCGCGCTGCGCGAAGCGCGACGTGCGAATCACTTCGCGCTCTGGCGCCGCCTCCCAGGGGAGTAGAGGCGGATGAGGAGGACTCGGAGCCGTACCGCGAAGCGCGAATCACTTCGCGCCCTCGAGGGCGCCCTTGGACCTCTGCAGCTCGCCCAGGGCCAGCGCGAGGAAGCCCTCGAAGGGGTCGCCGGGGGCGCCGCCGCCCGGGCGGGCGCCCGGCCCACAGGCAGCGCCGCCAGCCGCCAGCTGCTCCAGGCTCGCGGGCGCCTGGGTCCACCAGGGGGTGCTGGCTCGAGGGTCGCAGATCGAGGCTCGAGGATCGAGGATCGAGGATCGAGGCTCGAGGATCGAGGATCGAGGTCCGAGGATCGAGGTCCGAGGGCTCGAGGATCGAGGCTCGAGGTTCGAAGGTCGAGGCTCGAGGCTCGAGGATCGGGGCTCGAGGATCGAGGCCCGAGGATCGAGGATCGAGGTCCGAGGGCTCGAGGTTCGAAGCTCGAGGCTCGAGGCTCGAGGCTCGAGGATCGAGGCTCGAGGCTCGAGGATCGAAGATCGAGGCTCGAAGTTCGAGGATCGAGGTCCGAAGGTCGCTGGGCGTTTCTGGGGCGCCTTGGTCTGCCGTGGACCTACTGAAGAGCCTCCGATCCTTCAAAGAAGATGGGGAGGCGGAGGAGGAGGAGGAGGAGGAGGAGGAGGAGGAGGAGGAGGAGGAGGAGGAGGAGGAGGAGGAGGAGGAGGAGGAGGAGGAGGAGGAGGAGGAGGAGGAGGAGGAGGAGTGGACATATCGCCCCTAAAAACCTCGCCTCCCACCTCGCGTCGCGCCCCCCAAAGCGGATGGATGACAGCCAAACGCGGCACAAAAAACCGTCCTTCGCGAGCGCGAGGCCCTCCGCCGGCCGAACTGGAGAACACTCGAGGCCCCCCCCCCGCCCCCAGGATGCACGAGAGCACCCAGCGAGCGCGAAGAACATCAGGGTCCCCTCCCCGAGCCGACCTCGATCTGCGGCCGCGGTCCGACCGCAGCACTCCCCCGCCGTGCTCCTTCGCGAAATCGACCCCCCGAAGGTCCAAACCCCTTCCCGAAGCCGTTGTCTTCCTCTCGGGCAGGGTTTTGACGGCACTGAAACCTCGTGAGCGCATCCGGGGGCCGAAGACAACCAAAAACCTCCCGCCGTGATTGGTTCACGACAAGAAGCGGTGCGGGGCTTCTACAGATCCCTGGCACTCTGGCCACCCTGGGGCCCGAAGTGTTCCTTCTGGCCCTCGCCTGGGGCCAGCCGAGGCCTCCCCCGCAGCCCTGGGAACGCTTGGCGGACTCCAGAAACCCTGAACCCAAAAATGTTGTCATCTCTTGTTTTCGTTGTTGCTGTTGTTGTTGTTGTTATTATTATTATTATTATTATTATTGTTGTTGTTACTTCCGCTGTCGCCGCCTTCCGCGCATCTTTTCCTTCCGCCGCCTTCCGCCAGCCTTCCGCCGGCTTCCGCCGGCAGATGCGGCCTCGTTTTACTTCCGCCGCCTCCCGCCGTCTTCCACCGAGGGAGAGCTGGCACCCCCTCCGATCCTCGACTCGCCATCGCTCGGACGTCCATTCCCCGTGCCCTTTTCGGTCTCGTGCGCGCTTGTTTTTTGCAAGATGGTCCAGGATCCTCCTCCTCCTCCTCCTCCTCCTCCTCCTCCTCCTCCTCCTCCCTCGCTGGTCCTCGCCGTGAAAAAATGCACACGTTCGAGCGATGCCACCAGGTCGAATGCGAGGCCCTGCTTGGAGCGCCCCACTTCGAGTCAGGACCACCTCTCCGAGAGCCCCTGGAAGCTCCAGCACCTAAGCCCCTGGAGAGCGTTTCCTTACTCGGCGTCTCGACGTTGGGCGCAGGGGGGGGGTCTGGCTCCGGACCTCTGCTCAGAGCGACTGCTTGTGACGGTGCGTCCTGTGGGGGAGACTCCACCTGCTCGAGACAGGCGCCGAAAACAGCCAAGATCTACTCCATACATCGCCGTGGCGAAAATTTCTTTCAATTCGCCTTTTGGAATGACGCGCTCGTGCGGGGTAGTTTTACTAAAACTACTCCGCGCGCAATCGCATCCCGCTCGATAATTTATATGGTTTGGCGCGGAGTAGTTTCCGATCCCATTTTGGGGTAACAGAGTTATTAACGTCTCTGGGATCGGAAACTACTCTGCCGAATGATCCCAGCATCATGTCATGTTCGGAATCTCGAGAGGGATGGGGGAGATCAATTGAAGAAGCTTTTGTCATGGCTGTGTATGTGGGGGGAGGGGGGGAGGGGGCGAGAGCCCGCGCCGATCGGCAGACCAATGAATACGGAAGCGATCACCTGCGGGCCTCAGTGCGGGCCCCGCGGCTCGCACGCGGAGCCTGGCGACCCTACACGACTCGCCGAACACAAATCTACGGTCTTCTGCTTCCGGCGCTGGCGCGGTCGGCGCGACGTCAATGCTGGAATGAAGTGCTTGGCCCGCACGCAAGGGTGTCCGAAATCCGGCAGTGCCCTCACAACATTGAAGATCGCGTTTTCTGACAAATGCCCGAATTATCGGGCGCTTCGATCTTGAACGGCGTCTCTATTTTTGCCGAGGCGTGTAGGGTTTCCGTCAATCCAGGCATCCGACGTCCAAGAAGCAACTGCAACGCAACGAAGTCCGCGACTCGATTCCTCGCTCCCATCTTGTACCGTGATTTGTCGACCTAGATCGACCCGTGAACATCGTGCGTCCAAAACGGGGTGAAACAGCCAGCCGTGCTTACCCACGACGCCCAAATGGCAAGGTATATGCGACCCGACCCCGCGCTGCTTCGACTTGCCATGAGGGGGACGGGTTTCGAAACACACTCGGCCCAGGACCCTGCGACAACCCCACGACGACGACGACGACGACGACGACGACGACGACGACGACGACGACGACGACTGACAACCGATGACCGACGACGACGACGACGACGATGACCGGCGACCGCTCCTTCGGCGTCGACAGGGCCGTCTGGACGTCAGCGGAGCGCAGCGTGTCGGCCTGCGCCGCCGAAGGCATCAGGCCGTAGAACTCCGCCTGGGCGTCTGGCTCCGTCGTGGAGCGGGGCCCGTCTTTGTCCTCTCGCTTCGGTGATGATGATGATGATGATGATGATGATGATGATGATGATGATGATGATGATGATGATGATGATGATGATGATGATGATGTTGCTGATGCAGATGATGGCGACGATGATGATGATGATGATGATGATGATGATGGTGATGATCGCAGGTCTGATGATGCTGTTGGAGTTGGTGTTGGTGTTGGTGTTGATGGTGATGATGACGATGATGATGCTGATGAAGATCGTGATGTCGGTGATTGTGATGGTGATGATGATGAAACTGATGATGCTGATGGCGATGATGCTGTTGCTGCTGCTGCTGCTGCTGCTGATGATGATGATGATGATGATGATGATGGAGAGGACGAGGAGGAGTAGCATGATGATGATGATGAGGAGGAGGAGGAGGAGGGGGATTCAAGCTATGGGGTTCAACCGAAGCGACTCCATTGCAAAGAGCAGCCCCAGAGGCCTCAGGAGGCCCAGGGGCCGCGATAGGGCCGCAAGGAAGGGCAGAGGGAACAAGTGGACACCGTGGGTGCATCCGAAAATTGAAATGGGGCGGGGCCAGGCTCGCTCGACGGGCCAACTCCGCCCCCATCAGGCTGCCTGCTCCTGGCAGGAAGCTCGTCACGACTCTGCATGGCCATCCTGGCGGCCAGCGGCGGGCCCTCCCGATGAGGAAAAACACCCCTTGGCCAACCGAGAGAAGTTTCCCGCGGCTGGGCGCGTCTTCGGAAGACACTCTAAAACAAGGTGGCGAGGGTCAGTCGTCGTATACTGACCGCAGGCGCGGCAGAAAACTGGAAAACATTGGACCACCCTCCCGAGCGTGTGGGATGGATGGATCTCCATACCCCCATTGATATCCTACACCCCAGGCTAGTGGGGCGACCGTGGGCGGAGCAGGAAGAGGGTCGCAAGGGTTTACGCAAAGCACCCACACCCTCGACGCTGGCGAAGTCTTGAGAGGAGACGGCTCTCGCAGGTGCACGCTTGCCCCTCTGGTGGAGGCCGTAGGCTGAGGCCTGGGCCGCGCAGGCCAGCCGGGCTCTGGGCACCACTTGGGTGGGCGCCTCCACGCGGTCGGCCTTGGAAGAAAAGCTGGCAACCACTGCATCGATCCACGCGCGTCTGGCGCTCTGTCTGATCATGACCGCAGCGGAATCAGCTTCGTCGGCCCAAAGCAAGCAACCACTGCATCGATCAACGCGCGTCTGGCGCTCCGTCTGATCATGACCGCAGCGGAATCAGCTTCGTCGGTCCAAAGCAAGCTCGCTGCCCTCCGCGCCCAAATGCCAGCAGCCATGCTACCTATTGCTGCGGTGGCGTCCTGCTCGCCCTCAACCAGTCGTGCGCTCGCCCGTGTGCGACAATGTCCATCGCCCTAGAATTTGCCCAGGCCTGGTGCGACAGCTTACCCTCGCGCGCTCCCAAAGATCCTCCTGGTGGCAGCTGGCGAAAGGCGAGCAGAGGGTCCGGTCCCAAGGCCCGGCGAAACTTGCATGATGTGTAACTCCCAGAGGACGTCGTGGTCGTTGTCGCCGCGGCACCTTGGATCCCTGACAAGTGCCAGCAAGTGTGGCGAGTTGGCGATGGCCACTGACGGCTTCTTGGGCCAAGAAGGCATCTGACGGCTTCTGCGGTGCTATCTTCAGATGGCCCGGCGGGCCCGCCCACGTCCCTTGGCTATGCAACGCGAGTCCCCGCGCGAACGGCGCGTGACATCGAAACCTCGTTGTTAAAATGTGTGCGTATGTTTGCGTGCCCCGCGCTGCGTGCTCTGCGGTGAAAAGGCCTTTGGCGCCGCGCGCCATAAAATGAGCCGCGCGTCGTGGGGCCCATGGGGGGCCGCGTCGTGGGGCCCATGGGTGCGCGCAGAACTCAGGGGATCAAGACCGCCGCCCCCGTCGCGGAGCTGAAGTCGATTCTCGATGTAATACCACGTAGGCCGTGGCCGCAGACCGACGGGATCGCAAGACCGAGGCCGAAGACTGATGCCGAGGCCGACGACCGACGTGCATCGCAAGACGCAGCGGCAAAACCAAGGCCGAGTACGGACGCCCTGGGGTACATGTCGAAGTCGACAACCACGCCTAACCTATCGGACAACCCACCCCGAAGACCGACGTATATACGACAATGTAAAACAAACGACGCTTGCAAGTGCGCGCCACAAATTGTGAATCTGGAGCCGCAACAACAAATTGACCCCAAAAAACTCGCGCCAAAATGAAAGCGGACTTCCGTTTTAGTCGCCCTCCCTGCCCCCTCTGGGGCCATTCCTACAGACGGCCCCCTTCTCTGACCCCCCAGGCAAACCCAATTCTTGGCTCGGGGGGCGCGTGGATCTTCGGCTCCCAAGCAGCACTGGTCGAACGCAACCGACTCTACATGAGGATGTGTAGATGCCTGTTCCCACGGCGGTGCTGTATTGAGCCAAGTCGGGGGCGGTTGTAGCCAAAGAGGTATCGTCCCTCGCGTATCTGTGTTATCGCAACATGTCCGAATCATGAGGTGCGTGGTGCATCTTCCTCGCAGCGCGGCCGCCGTGTCTCGTGATTGGCGCGGTAGTTTGGGCAATGGGGCAGCCCAGTACTGCGGCAAGAAGGTGCTATTACAATGCCAGTGCAATGTTGGCGTCGAGGTACTGTGGGGCGCGCTGTTGGACGGCGGAATCGCTCAAGTGGCGGCCAGTGGGCAGGTCGAGGCTGTCGCCGGTCTCGAATTGTCGTCGGATGGCGATATGTGAAATGCAGGATTCGCCGCCGCGCAACTCGCAAAGGTCCTTGCCGGGTCCTAGGGTGTGGGCCGTAGCCGGGGCGCGCGCGACGTCTGCGGCTTGGAAGGCGGGCGCTGGGAGAGCGGCGCGCAAACCAGCGATGGTCCCTGCTGCATGTGATTCTGCCAGATGCTCGCCGTCTGGGAGCTCGCTGGCGCGGTCGATCGCGGTGTCCTGGAACGGCCGTGCGAGCTGCTCCTCCGTGCCAGGGCCAGGGAGGTCGTCGCCGATGTCGTCGAACACGTCTCCTACCCTTCTTGTGGCGTTTGACCAGCACATGGCCTTGTGTCTTGCGTGCCTTCGCCCGTTCTGCCTCGTCATTAAGGAAGGCGAAGGATGGGGGCACGTGGGAAACGAGGGAAGTGGTTCTGCCTGTTCATTCGCGCGGCAGAGCTCCATGTGCGGTAAGTCGCTGTCTCCAAATTGATGTGCTGACGACGAGACTGCTTGGCTCGTGTTAAAAGGTTGATGCGGGTTGTCCTGTTATCTGCCAGTGAGGCAAGAGAGAATGGGCAATAAGTCTTGGCCGGTGTGACATGGGACGCGTGTCGCACTGCTCTTGCTGATATCAGATCCAGTAATCTTCCTTCGTGGCGTTGTCGGTGTCGGTGTTGGCGCGTGCCCATTGGCTTGAAATCTCTCCTGTAGACATATCCGTCTTGCGAGTCTTGTCGTTCTGATGTATCTTATTATTGAGTATCCACTCTCGTTGTGTCCTATTCGAATCGGGATTGTCGGAGGAGGCGAAGTAGGAGGAGGAGGAGGAGGAGGAGGAGGAGGAGGAGGAAGGAGGAGGAGGAGGCGGAGGAAGGGGGGAGGAAGAAGAGGAGGAGGAGGAGGAGGAGGAGAAGGGGAGGAGGAGGAGGAGGAGAAAGAGGATGAGGAGGAGGAGGAAGGTGAGGCGGAGGAGGAGGGGGAGGGGGAGGAGGAGGAGGGGGAGGAGGAGGAGTAGGAGGAAGGGATGAAGAGAAGGAGGAGGAGGAGGAGGAGAGGAGGAGGAGGAGGGAAGGAGAAGGGATGAGGAGGAGGAAGAGTAGGAAGAGGAGAAGGGATGATGATGGTGCTGCTGATGATGATGATGCTGATGATGATGAGGAGGAGGAGGAGGAGGAGGAAAGAAAGAGGAGATGGAGGATGAGGAGGATATGACGAGGAGGAGGAGGAGGAGGAGGAGGAGGAGAAGGGGGAGGATGAGGATGAAGATGAGGAGGAGGAGGAGGAATGCAGGGGGATTGGAGGGCGGAGAAGGAGGGGGAGGAGGAGGAGGAATAGGATGAGGATGAGGAGGAGGAGGAGGAGGAGGAAGAGGATAGTGAGGAAGAGGATGATGATGATGATGATGATGATGATGATGATGATGCTGATGATGATGAGGAGGAGGATGAGCAGCAGGTTGAGGAGGAGAAGGAGGAGGAGGAAGACGATGACGATGATGCTGATGATGCTGATGATGATGATGATGATGACGGCGATGATGATGAGGAGGGGGAGGGTGATGATGATGATGATGATGATGATGATGAGGAGAAGGAGGAGGAGGAAGAGCAGCAGCAGCAGCAGCAGCAAGAGAAGGAGGATGCGGAGGAGGGGGGAGGGGGAATGGGGAGGAAGCTCCGTGGCGGCCGAGCAGCCCCCTACGCTTCCGGCGGCGGCCATCGCCCGCCCTCGTCTTGCAGCCGCGGGGCGCGTATAGGCGTGCCCCCCCAATCGCGGAAGCCTGCATGACTGCAAGGCGGAGGGGCGAGGGAGGGGTGGAGGAAGGAGTTAGCAGGTATCCTCCTCCTCGTCCTCCTCCTCCTCCTACTCCTCCTCGTCCCTCTCCTCCCTCTTCCTCCCCCTCCCCCTCCTCCTTCTCCTCCTCCTCCTCCTCCTCAACTTCTGGGAAACCTCTGTAAGACAAATTCAACTAATTTGGGCCCGATTCATTGGCGACTAAGACGGAGTAGCCCAAATTCAACCAAATATTAAGCGGGATTAGCTGGAATAAAGAATCAGACGGGACGATGCCAGATTAGGCCGGTTTTCGACCACGGATGTACCAGCGCCGATGCTGAATTAAACCTTTTTGGAGTTGCGTCCCAAGAGTAGTGACCCAGACCACTCCTCGCGTCGCGAAGAGATCAGCGGCGGAAAGCTTGTCTGGCGGGTGGTCAGGGTGGGGGGGGGGACCTCAATGGGGGGTGAAGCACAGAGCCTGAAGGGGCCCTGAAAGCGCCTTGAAGGCCCTTCCACTTTACCTTCAGGTCACCCCCCCTGACCACCCGCCCGAGCTTTTGGATAGCTCTTCGGCCTCCAGGGAAAAAAGATGGACCTCGCGTGGTTGCCAAATCCCGACCAGACGCAGAGGACTCCCGCGTTTTTTCCGTCGCAGCGCGGCAGAGGCAGTCCGCGCGCGCGTTCGGCACGCCGGGCAGCAACGTTGCTACTTCCCCCAAGTGCAAGAGAGGAGAAGAAGAAGAGGGGCGGCCGCGGGAGAAAGAATCACAATCTCCACGCACATGCGAGAGAGAGAGAGGGGAACGAGCGATGACCCGAACCATGGGGCCGGGACACGCGACCACGCCGACCGAGGGGACCGACCGGCGATCAGAGAATCGCACGGCTTGTCGATCGAGCCGCCTCCAGAGGCCCACAAGGAGGTCCCCCAGAGGCCCGAAGAGGCCCCCAAGAGGCTCCCACGAGGCCTCCCAAGAGGCTCCCGAGTGGCCCAACAATTCCTCCCAAGAGGCCCCGAGAGCCTGTCGAAGAAACCCCAAGAGGCACCCCTGAGGACTCTGGCCCCCGCGTCAGCGTCGTCCACTACTACTACTACTACTACTACTACTACTACTATTACTACTACTACTACTACTACTACTACTACTACTACTACTACTACTACTACTACTACTACTACTACTACTACTTACTCTACTACTACTACTACAGACTACTACTAATACTACTACTACTACTACTACTAACGACTCCGAACTACGCTACGACTACGACTACGACTACGACTACGCACTACGACTACGACTACTACTACTACGCTACTGCTACTGCTAGACGCTACTGCTGACTGCTGCTGCTATGCTACTGCTACTGCTACTGCTACTGCTGCATGGGACGGAACTGCTATGAGCTACGGCTAAGTGGACTACTACTAACTACTACTACTACTACTCACTACTACCACTAACTAACTAACTACTAGTCTACTAGTAGTAGTCGCACTACTACTACTACTGCTACTTACTAGCACTACTGCTCACTTACTACTAACTACGACTAACTGCTACTACTACTACTCTACTTCACTACTTATACGACTCCTGCTTCTACTACTAACTACTTACTGCTACTACTACTACCTACTACTACTACTATCTAGTACTACTCTAGACTAACTACTAACTAACTACTACTACTACTACACTACTCTACTACTACTACTACTACTACTACTACTACTACTACTACTACTAACTACTACCTACTCTACTACTACTACTACTCCTACTATTTGGGGTGTTCTACTCTACTACTACTACTCCATACTCCTACTATACTAACTACTAGCGACTACTACGAACACCGACGACGACTACGACTACGACTACGACTACGACTACGACTACGACTACGACTACACTACTACTACTATCTACTAGTACTACTAACTAGTCACTACGACTACTACTACTACTAATACTACTACTACTACTACTACTACTACTACTACTACTACTACTACTACTACGACTACTACTACTACTTACTACTTACTACTTACTACTTACTACTACTACTACTACTACTACTACTACTACTACTACTACTACTACTACTACTACTACTACTACTACTACTACTACTACTACTACTACTACTACTACTACTACTACTACTACTACTACTACTACTACTACTACTACTACTACTACTACTACTACTACTACTACTACTACTACTACTAGTTCTACTACGACTACTACTACAGGGTGAGGAGGGGGGGAGGGAGGGAGGGAAGGAGGGAGGGGAGGAGGGGAAGGTGAAAGAGGAGGACAAAGAGGACAAAATGCCACGCCTGCCACGCCCTGCGAACCTGCAACGCATAGGGCCCTCACCCCCAGCGCATCCCCTGTGGAGTCGAGGGAATGCCCCGCCTGTCACGCCCTGCGAGCCTGCAGCGCATAGGGCCCCCACCCCCAGCGCCCGCGCTCAGAGACCACCACCTGCGGACCCCCTACGGTTATGAGAATATGCCACGCCTGCTCCGCCAGCGCTCCCCTGTGCCGTGAACACGACCGGCACGGATAGCAAACTTGCGTGCCGATGTGCCCTGGGCACCACCGTCACGGATAGAGGCCGCGCTCAAGGACCACCTCGTGCGAACCCCGTGTGGTGTCGAGAATATGCCATGCCTGGTATGCCCTGGACGACCGTCACGGACAGCAGCGCCCTGCACGACCGGCACGGATAACGACCGCGCTCAGGGACCACCCCATGCGCACCCCCTATGGTCTCGGAGAAGGTGCCACTCCTGCTATGCCCTGGACGGCCTGCACGGATAGCGGCCGCGCTCAGGGACCACCCCCTGCGCACCCCCTATGGTGTCGGGAAAGTGCCACTCCTGCTATGCCCTGGGTGACCAGCACGGATAGCGGCCGCGCTCGGGGACCACTCCCTGAGCACCCCCTTTGGTGTCGAGAAAGTGCCAGGCTTGCTATGCTCTGCGCCATGGCCCCATGGACGCCGCGCTCGGGGACCACCCCCTGCGCACCCCCTATGGTGTCGAGAAAGTACCACGCCTGCTATGCCCTGCGCCATGGCCCGCATAGACGCCGCGCTCGGGAACCACCCCCTGCGCACCCCCTATGGTGTCGAGAAAGTACCACGCCTGCTATGCCCCGCGCCATGGCCCGCAAAGACGCCGCGCTCGGGGACCACCCCCTGCGCACCCCGTATTGTGTCGAGAAAGCACGACGCCTGCTATGCCCTGGGCCATGACCCGCATAGGCGCCGCGCTCGGGGACCACCCCCTGCGCACCCCCTATGGTGTCGAGAAAATGCAATGCCTGCTATGCCCTGCGCCATGGCCCGCATAGACGCCGCGCTCGAGGACCACCCCCTGCGCACACCCTATGGTGCCGAAGAAAAAGCCACGTCTGCTATGCTTTGCACCATGGCCCGCATAGACGCCGCGCTTGGGGACCCCCCCTGCGCACCCCCTGTGGTGTCGAGACAGCGCCACTCCTGCTATGCCCTGCGCCATGGCCAGCATAGACGCCGCGCTCGGGGACCACCCCCTGCGCACCCCCTATGGTGTCGAGAAAGCGCCACGCCTGCTATTCCTAGCGGCGTGGCCCGCATAGACGCCGCGCTCGGGGACCACCCCCTGCGCACCCTCTATGGTGTCGAGAAAGTGCCACGCCTGCTATGCCCCGCGCCATGGCCCGCATAGACGCTGCGCTCGGGGACCACCCCCTGCGCACCCCCTATGGTGCCGAGGAAATGCCACGCCTGCTATGCCCCGCGCCATGGCCCGCATAGACGCCGCGCTCGGGGACCACCCCCTGCGCACCCCCTATGGTGTCGAGAAAGTACCACGCCTGCTATGCCCTGCGCCATGGCCCGCATAGACGCCGCCCTCAGGGACCCCCCCCCCTGCGCACCCCCTATGGTGCCGAGGAAATGCCACGTCTGCTATGCCCTGCGCCATGGCCCGCATAGACGCCGCGCTCGGGGACCACCCCCTGCGCACCCCGTATTGTGTCGAGAAAGCACGACGCCTGCTATGCCCTGGGCCATGACCCGCATAGGCGCCGCGCTCGGGAACCACCCCCTGCGCACCCCCTATGGTGTCGACAAAACCCCACGCCTGCTGTGCCCTGGACGACCGTCGTGCTGTGCTGTGCTGTGCTGAGCTGTGCTGGGCTGAGCTAAGCTGTGCTGAGCTGTGTGAGAAGGAGAAGGAGGAGGAGGGGAGGCGAGTGAGAGTCGCGGGTGCGACGCGGCAGGGATGAAAACCAGAACCCCACGAAACATGTGGGGAAATACAAATGAAAATGCGCCCAAATGGTTAAAAACAGTAAAAACATTGTCTCCAAACTTTTTTGCTATTATTCCCCAATCAGAGCTTGCCTGTGTAGGGGTCCTAGCGGATTCATATGGTTAGGTTAGGTTTGCCGCCGACTTTCGCCGCACGCCCGGGTGCCCGGGGGTGCCCGGGGGTGCCCGGGGGTGCCCGGGGGTGCCCGGGGGTGCCCGGGGGTGCCCGGGGGTGCCCAGGTGCCCGGGCGTGCCCGGGTGCCCGCGCGTGCCCGGGGGTGGCCTATAGCCCTATAACCCTATAGCCCAATAGCCCTACAGCTCTATAGCCCTACAGCTCTATAGCCCTATAGCCCTATAGCCCTATAGCTCAATAGCCCTATAGCCCTATAGCCATATAGCCCTATAGCCCCATGATTGGGTTTCTCTCTGGTATCATAACTATCCGCCGAAACGTGCGCGGCCCAGGGGGAAGGGCCAGGAACGTGATGAAATAAGGAGAGGCGCCACGAAATCCGGGGAAATATCACGGCCCACGCCACGATATCTCCACTCCCCCCCGCCCTGGTCATCCCCCCCCCTCTTTGCCGCCCGCAGCGCTTGCCAGGACTCACCCCCGCCCCCCCCTGCCCCCCCCCTGCCCCCCGGGGCACGGCACCTGCCGAGCGCGCGGGGGCCCTCCAGCCTGCCCCGCCGGAGCGGCCCCGAGGACCGCGGGCGCGGGCGGCACCCCCCCCCCTCCCCCCTCGGCAACGGGGCGGCCGGCGCGCGGGCCCCGCTCGCAGCGCCTCCTGTTCCAGAGCGCACCGTGTTCCAGGCCACGCTCGCTCGGAGGTCCCGAGAGCCCGCTGCCCCCCCCGCGTGCGCGGCGCGCGGCGCGGAGCTCCCGCGGCGCGGAGCTCCCGCGCGCAGGCCGAGCGCGCAGGTCTGGCGCGGCACGCTCTCGCCGAGGCGCGGGCCGGGACGCCGAGCCGGCACGCAGCGCACTGGCACGGGCACGCTGCGTGTGGCGTTTCAAAGCGGGCATCGCGGGGCAACGAGGCCCAAGATCGGCGTGCTCCGGGGGGGAGGCGAGAGCGGGCGGGCCTGCTCAGGAGGCTCGGGAGTCCCCCGGCCTTCTTGGCAATTTCTCCGAGCCTTCCCCGAAGGCGAAGAAAAGTTCGCAGAAGGCCGGAGGGCTTCTGAGAAGCCCCGCCGCCTTCTGAGAAGGCCCTCTCCTTCTCACATCCCCCCCTCGGACAAGAGGAGCGGGGGCAACGTGAGGCGGAGGATGCCAGCCACGGGTACAGGCTCCCGAGCGAATTGTAAAACCTGATGTTTCCGGCATTGATCCTGGTCTCGTCTCGCGCGCCTGCTCGTCAGGCTGCGCAGCGAAAGCGCTAAACATAACCAGCGCGTAAAGGGGAGGAAGGGGGATATGAGGTAGATGCAAAAGAAAAGTGAGCAGGACCTGCAGAAAACACTTCGTCAACGGCGACTGCGCAACACCTCGCAAACACTACTTGGTGTGCGACGATCTGTCTGCACATGGCAGGTTCAGTATCCTCACTCCTGATATTATTCGCGCCTGAAGCTCGCCCGCCCAAATCAACTTGGCAAATCAGGAAGGGCATGCATAATAAGAGCGGGCCCTGGGAGGGCGAAGAGGTGCGCTCTGTTGGCGGCCATGTCTTCAACCCGAGATGCCACGCATACCGGTTGGGAAGTGTGACTCGCCAGAGTCGTCGACATGCTGTGCCCCGACTGATTCCGAGCCATTATATCACGATGTCGCACATCTGATCCTGCAGAGAATCGTGCAATCAGTCGCGGGATGGCAATGCAGATTTCTGGCGAGGAGGGGGATGATGAGGATGATGAGTAGGGTACAGGTGGAGCATGTACGAGGAGGATGAGGAAGGACGACGAATAGGAGCACACATCGTTCGGAAGCATGGGCTAAGGTAGAAAGATGCCGTAGGAATGCGTTGACATTCGATGAGGTTTCTGCCCGCCCCCTGACAAAGAAGAAACAAGGAAAACCGATGGATTCTTGAAGCAGGAGGGCGCCTAAATCAGATTGGAGTCCGGTAAATAAAACATACATACTTTCATCAAAGAACGATGGCTCCAAGACAGCCCAAGAGCGCTCCAAGAGACCCCAAGGCCGCCCAAGACCGTCCAATGGGGGCCCCGAGACGCCCCAAGAGGCCTCCAAGAGGGCCCAACGAGGGACATGTCATTGATTTTTGTATGGTTTTCAAAGGTTTTCCTGGTTCTCCCTTTTTCGGGACAACATCAGCCCGAACCGGCCCAAGAGGCTCCAAAGATCGCCCCAAGATAGCCCAAGAGGCCCCCCAAAGAGCCCGAAAACGATCCAAAAGAGTCCCAAGACAGCCCAAGAGGGCTCCAAGACGGGCCCAAAAGAGCCCCAAGAGCGCCCAAAGGGGCACCCAAGAGGGCCCCAAGACGCCGCCAGGAGAGCCCCACGATGGCCAAAGGCCTCCAAGATGCCCCAAGACGGCCCAAAAGGGCCCCGAGACGACCCAAGAGAACCCCAACAGGGCCCTAAAAGGGATCCACAAGAACCCCAGGAAGACTCCTTAGAGGCCCCCAAACGCTACATAACACCACACATAGTTACACAGACCATTTGCATATACATGTACATACCCATACATACGTATATTATTTATATGTGCATATGTAGTATGTTTCCATAAGCGCATGTGTGTGCGCATGTACGCACGCACGCACTCCGCTAACGTGCGAAACTCTAAAGGACCAAGGTGCATGGCGCGCAGCGCCAATTCAATCTTGTGTATGTATGTATGTATATATATATATATATATATATATATATATATATATATATGTGCTCGCCGCCCCCCAAACACCCCCCAACGACAGCCTGGGGGGGAGGGGCATCCTCCTCCTCATTCTCATTCTCTTCCTCCTCCTGCTCATCTTCCTCCCGCTCCCTCTCATGATACTATTTTCCCTTCTCCCTGTCATGATCATCATCCTGCGCTCCTTCCCAAGGGGCAGCATTGAGGTACGCACTCAAAGGATGACAGCGTGGAGGAAAGGATGGAGGAGGAGGAGGAGGAGGAGAGAAGATGGAGGAGGACGAAAGATGAGAGTTCACTCGCTCCTCTTCCTGGCGCGGTGCTCGAGGTTCGCCGTCGTTCGGGGGCAGTGCTGGTCCTGCCAGAGGGTTTTCTCCGTAAGCATACATAATGTTTGGCGCCCTCGATGCAAGGAAACGATGTGTATTATTTTTTTGGGTCTGTGCAAGGCCCAATGCTCACCGCGTCCTCCCTCTCAGCAGCCCTCTCTCTGCCTCCCACAATTAAAAAACAACCAAACATACACAGTATTTGGCCCGGCGCCCTCGATGCAAGGAATCTTTTTTTTGGTTCTGCAAGCCCCCATGCTCGCCGCGGCCTCCCTACCAACACCCTTCTCTCTGCCTGCCAAAACCAAAAAACCAAACATACACAATGTTTGGCGCCCGCAAGGAAACGTGTTTTTTGTGTGAGCACTTTTTTTTGCAAACCCCCATGCTCGCCGCGGCCTCCCTCCCAGCTCCCCTTTCTCTGCCTCCCTAAACCAAAACAAAAACAACCAAATCAAACATACACAGTGTTTCGTTGTTTCACACACACCACACACAACAAAAAAACACCAAACATACACAGCGTTTCCTTGTATCGATGGCGCCAAACATTTTTTGGTTGTTTTGGGAGGCGGATAGAAGGGTGCTGGCAGGGAGGCCGCGGCGAGCATGGGGGCTTGCAAAACCAACAAAAATAAAAAAAACAAACATACACAGTGTTTCGTTGCTTCACAGACCCAAAACAGAACAACAAACAAAAATGCACAACGTGTCCTTGCATCGAGGGCGCCGCCAGGTTCCCGATACACACGCATATATATATATATATGTATATGTATGTATGTATGTATGGATGTATGTACGTATCTATGTTTGTATGTACGTATTGATGTATGTATGTATGTATGTATCGATGCGTGTGTGTTTATGGAAAAATGAACGTCAGCAACAAGCTCCTCCGCGTTGGGAGGAACAATGTCGCCTTTGTTTCTTTGTGGGGGGGCGAATGAGATAGAAACGCCCGGGTTGACTGGCAATCCGCCGGTTTTGTAGAATTCTTATGAGTGTGACAGACCGGTGATGGGGAAGAAAATAGCAAGGATCACAACAAGTGATGAGGAGACGGTTCGGAAACGCAGGCTGGATGAACGGGGGAGGGACTGGGAGCACGAGGGGACGTGAGGAGGATGTGGGCAAGGGAGAGGAGGAGCGCCTCTCGCTGAAACTTTGCGCCTGGCGGCGGACGAGGAACTCCCGCCCTTCCTGCCTCCATCCATCCTCGGTGCATCCTCCCTCCCTGTCTTCCCTCGATCCCTCCTCCTCCTCACGCTCTCTTCGTCGCTCACACTCCCTGCTCCTCCTCCGCCTCCCGCTCCCTCGCTATATCCTCATTTGTCCTCCTCTTCCTTCCTGCCTCCATTCATCCCTCCTTTTCTCCCTTCCTTCCTCGCCTTCCTTCCTTCCTACCCTCATTCCTTCCTCCTTCCCTCCTTTTCTCCCTCCCATTCTCCTCCTACTCCCCTTCCTCCTCCTCCTTCTTCTCCTCCTCCTCCTCCTCCTCCTCTTCCTCCGTCCCATCCCTCTTCCCTCCCTCCTCCTCCCCCTCCTGCTCATTCCTCGCTTCCCCTCCTCCTCATCCCCCCTCCTCCTCCTCCTCCTCCTCCTCCTCCTCCTCCTCCTCCTCTTCCTGCTCTTCCTCCCCTTCCTCCTTCCTTCTTCCTTCTTCCTCCTGCTGCTGCTCCTCCTCCTCCCTCCCGATTTCTCTCCACCCTCCCTCAATCACTAGGTCGCCGAGCCGCCGACAACTTTTCGCAGAAGGCTCCACCTGGCAAAAAGCGCAGCATGTCCACACATGGCGTCACGGCGGGCCCCTGGCTGCTCCCGGGAAACCAGCTCGTTGCCGTCCTCGTCGATGGTCACGCATATCGCCCATTCGCTGAACGTCGCGTGCAGAGAGCGTTTCCTGCCAGCGTGTCTGCCGCCCCGCGTGCACAGGTCCCTCTCGGGTGCGCTTTCTACGTGCTCGCCAAACCACGCCTCGGTGGGCGCTGGGAATCCGAAAGCCTCTGCCTCGAAGATCGCCTCTTCGCAGAGGTCGCAGAGGTCCTGGTACACCATCGCTGCGAATGCGAACAGCCACTGCAGGCCCCAGGCGGGGCAACGCCCCACGCCTGGGCGCCCGCTCCGGCCCCCGAGCCAACAAAGGCTGTGGGTCTGGACGCAGAGGCGGATGGGGGAGGGGGAAATGATGATGATGATGATGATGATGGTGGTGCTGCTGGTGGTGATGATGATGATGCTGCTGCTGCTGATGATGATGATGATGTTGCAACGGGCTTGTGTCGTGACGACCCTGGCGTTGGTGTCTGACACCGCGTCGGTCATTCGTGCTTGAACGATCGGTGGCTTTGATATCGTTTCATCAAGGGTTGGGGGGTGAGATCGCAGTGGAACGGATAAAACCCACCACCAGGATACGGTTTCGGTTTCGTGTTGCCGTCATGCGTGCGGGCGAGGCGAAGCTGCGCGGGTGCACGAGAGGAATGAACCCGCCGTCGCTAGGGCGATTCGGATGCAATGACCGCCCCTCCGCGCGGTGGCCCGGGGTGTCCCGCCCTGGTGTCCTGTGGTGTCTCGTTGATGTCCCGTTAGTGTTCCGTCGGCGGTGGGCGGGCGATGGCTGGGGGTGTCCCGCCTTGGTATCGACTGTGAGGTCGATAGTGATAGTGAGATCAACAGTGGGATCGACAGTGAGGCCGACTGTGACATTTTCTTGTGAAATAGAAAGCGGGGGCGAAGGTGGCGCTACATCGCAGAGCAACGTCGTCATCGCGCGTCGTCGCTAACTCGAGGGCGCGTCGCCAGCATCGTCATCGCCGCGCCCATCGCATTTGCCAGAATTTGGTTGTTCCCCCCCCCCCCCCCCCCCCC